TGTTGTTGATGATTTTTCCAGGTACACTTGGACCGTGTTTTTCAAGAAGAAAAATGAAGTTGAGCAAGTTCTACCGAAGCTGTTGAAGCAACTACAAAATGAGAAAGAATTGAAAATATCAAAAATACGAACGGATCGTGGAACCGAGTTCGTGAATGGAGTTATACAAGCTTTTTGCAATTCACATGGAATTTCTCATCAATTATCTGCCGCAAGAACACCGCAACAAAACGGTGTTGCCGAAAGAAGAAATAGGACACTCAAAGAAGCCGCACGAGTGATGATTAGTGCTGCCGGTCTCCCGAAACGATACTGGGCGGAAGCTATCAATACTGCTTGCTACACGCAAAATCGAAGCATGATCCATAAGCAGTACAAGAAGACACCATATGAGCTTTATAAAGGGAGAAAACCAAATATTGGTTATTTTCATATTTTTGGATGCAAATGTTATTTCATATTAATGATAAATTGCATCTAAAAGTTTTTGATGAGCGTGCAGATGAAGGAATTTTTCTAGGATATTCGACTACCAGCAAGGCGTTCAGAGTTTTGAATAAAAGATCAATGGTGGTTGAAGAATCCATACACGTGGTATTTGATGAAAAATCACAAATAAAAAATGGCGCTCTGGACGAAGATTTCGAACAAAATGGTAACAAGTGTCATATTGATTTTTGTGATACTAATGATACGTGTGAAGATGATGTTTTGCAGGGAATGGATGAGTTGGAAATTAATTCTCTAGAAAATCCCATCCCTCATCCAGAAGAAGATGGAAATTCTTTTAATAATAGTTTTGGAGGTGATGCCGCACGTGAGAATGGAGATGCAGTACGGGTTGAGGTTGGTGATCCAATTAGTGATCAAGTTACTGGTGAAGTTGGTGATCAATTTCAAGAAGAATTAAATGATGAAATTCGAATCAACTCTTCCAGTACACAACAAATGGATCCACCCAGTACCATGCACCCATTTGAACCAGATTTAAGATGGCTCAAAAATCACCCTCCAGAATTAATTATTGGGAATATTCATGAAAGCGTGAAAACAAGATCATCTACCATGGAAGCATTGTTCACGTGTTATCTATCTCAAATTGAACCAAAAGAAGTTGACGAAGCTCTAAATGATCCGGATTGGATAAATGCTATGCAAGAGGAGCTCGATCAATTCAAAAGAAATGATGTTTGGGAACTTGTTCCAAGACCGGCGAACCACAATGTTGTAGGAACCAAATGGGTCTTCCGGAACAAAGCAAACGAAGAAGGCGTGGTTGTTAGGAATAAAGCAAGGCTCGTTGCAAAAGGATACTCTCAAGAAGAAGGAATAGATTTTGATGAAACTTTTGCACCAGTGGCTCGACTCGAAGCAATCAGAATTTTCCTAGCCTACGCCGCACACAAAGATTTCACTGTTTAACAAATGGACGTGAAAAGCGCATTCTTGATTGGTCTACTCGAAGAAGAAGTTTATGTCGAACAACACCCAGGTTTTGAGGTAAAAGGCGAAGGTGATAAAGTCTACAAACTTAAAAAGGCATTGTATGGGTTGAAACAAACACCTAGAGCTTGGTATGATACTTTGTCAATGTTCTTGATAAGCTGTGGATTCACCAAAGGCCTTGTTGACAAAACTCTATTTAGAATTCAAGATGGTGATCATATTTTATTAGTGCAAATATATGTTGATGATATTATTTTTGGAAGCACTAACAATTCTTTGTGTGATAAATTTTCGAAGCTTATGCAGAATAAATTTGAAATGAGCATGATGGGTGAATTGAATTACTTCTTGGGCTTACAAGTCAAACAACTGAAAGAAGCAGTATTCATCAATCAAGCAAAGTACACCCGCGACTTGATAAAGAAGTTTGGCCTTGATGGAAAATCATCGATCAAAATTCCGATGAGCACATCAATAAGGCTAGACAAAGATGAAGATGGAAAGGATGTCGATCAAACAAAATATAGAGGAATGATTGGTTCTCTTCTATATCTTACTGCAAGCAGGCCGGACATTTCTTATGCTGAAAATTCCATTGCAACTAGTACCGCCGAGGCCGAATACATTGCTGCAGGAAGTTGTTGTGCGCAAATTTTGTGGATGAAACAACAATTGAAGGATTACGGAGTTAATTGTGATGACGTTAGTATTTATTGTGATAATACTAGTGCAATCGCTATAACTCACAATCCGGTGCTTCACTCAAGAACCAAACATATCGACATTCGACATCATTTTATAAGGGATCACGTTGAAAAGAAAAATCTGAAGATCGAATATATCCCTACGGAAAACCAAGTTGCTGATATTCTCACGAAGCCTTTATGCGAAACGAGATTTTCTACGTTAAGGCACGAGTTGGGAATGATCGAAATGAGCTAAGTATCACTGGACTTAATCTCTCTATTTAATTTGATACTTGTGCTCAAAACAAATTGTTTTACGTGAATAATTTGTTTTATGTGATTATATGCATGTTTTTATTCGAATTTTTTTTGTGATAAAATTGCAATATGTGTTAGGAATTTAATTGTGTATTTGCATGTGTTATTTAACGTGAGATCATTGTCATGCAAATTAATTTGATGAAATGTGCAATTCCTGATTTATTTGATTATTTGTTTAAAATTGCATGTTTTAATGCGTTAATTAGTTTATAAGTATTTGTTCATGTTTGTATAATTTAAATAATTTGTTTGCATGAACAATTTGCTTTAAAAATCTAATTCAATATGTTTATTGCATTATATATGTGTTACGTGCATATATGGTTTATGTGATATAATTTGATATAAAATGTTTTAGAAATCTGAGCTGATAGTTAAATTTTTGTTAATTTCTAAAATGTTTTAGAATCTGATTTGTGTGCAAATTATGTGAAGAGGTTTCTAATTATTAATTTGGAATATATGTGTTAATTTGTTAGTTTCCAAAATTTGTTTGTTTTAATTGAAAATTACCGTGTATGTGTTTAATGTATATTAGCATGTGTGATTAATTATTTGTGGAATAATTTATGCTACTAACGAGATGTTTGAGTGTGATTATATTTGTGGTACACGATTTTGAGAAGGAAATCAGGAGACAAAGGAGGAAAATCATAGTTTAATTGGGTATCAAACCTCCACCCATAAACTCCTACCCTTTCTAAACCTCCACCCATCTTAAACCTCCCCCCATAATCATCTCCTAAATCAAATCTTTCCAAACAGATTCACCCTCTCTCTCAATCAACACCCGCATCTCGCCTGTCAGAAAAATCACCCTCTCAATCGATCCCCATAAACCAATCTCAAGGAGATCAGAACCCAAATCCTCTCTAAATGTCTCTTCAAATCTCCACCCTCTACACCTTACGTGTATTGGGTATTTCTAAAGAGGTGTGTGCATTAAATGCTCTTGTCTGCTAATGATCACATTTTCTCTTTCCTCGTAACACCCTCTATCAGATGACTCATCTACCCTAAACTCACCCAATCGACACACCTCAACCAAAGGGTACAATTGAGAAATCTCTTCACTCTCTTAAATCCGAAAAACCCCTTCGAGTCATCCTCCTCATATAAACCCCTCTCTTATATTTCAAAAACTCTTTCAAGACCTTCAGAATATCAGAAAACTCTCTCTCAAAAATTATCTCTCCTCTAACAATCATCTGATCATCATGGCTCAATCTGGAAGAAAGCAAATCGATCTTATTCTCTCCCTCTCGCAACAAGTGACAAATGGGATGGTACTCAACCCTGATTTTTTCAAACTAGGTTCTACCGACAAGGACACGACCGAGAAAATTCTTCAAGCTCTAAAAGACTGCGGACTGTTTGATTCTTTGTTGGTCCCGATAGAATGAGATGAGAGTCTAGAGGGGGGGGTGAATAGACTCTTTTCGTTAGAAGCCCTAAACGTCACCTTTCGGTGTCTTGGCGCAGCGGATAAGATAGATTCATTTTAAAATACTTTGCACGAGTTTACGTAATTAGACAAACTTTCGGTAATGATAATGAAGAAATGATATGAGAGCAAAATAAAAAGCGTAAGTAAGGAGATAAGGAGGACACGAGATTTTATAGTGGTTCGGCCAATGTTGCCTACTCCACTCTTCTTCCACAACTGTTGGAAGGATTGCACTATCACTCTTAGTACAATTACACAAAGACTTCCTTGATCACTAAGCCGGACAGCCTTCGTAGGTTTTTCAACTCCTCGAGTTTACTCCGCCTCTATCAACTTCTTCTCCTGAGTTGAGGTTGGTAGAAAATGATTTCTTGAATTCTCCAACAAAGAGATCTTGACTCTGAGATATGATAGCTTCAAACTGATGTCAAGACTTCCTTGAGGTGTAAGACAAGTGATTCTCCAAGTAACTTAACACCTCAAAAACTGGTTCACAAAAGCTTTTTGTAAATCGTAGACGTTTCAAGAGCTTTTGTAAGTGAGTAAGTCGAGTGATAATGAACCAGCACCTTCTTAGTTGATGAAGGTGAGTTTATATAGGTGATGAAAATCCATCCGTTGGAGGGAGATGAAATTTTCGAACCTTTTAACCATTGGACAAGGACCGGGGAGCTTCATGCATTAAATGCTTCATTAATGAGGTTGTACCATGTAACCGTTGAAGGTATAGAAAGCATTAGGGTTTTGTCCTTTAGCTCCAAGAGATAGTACATCTTCATTTAATGCTTCTTGAAAAGTGAGTCCCATAAAATGAAGTCCTTATTGTCCTAGGATGTTGTCAAATCAGACAGGTGAAACATTTTTCTCGTTGTTGAAGAGAAGTAATGTTTAATGAAGATCGTCTTTTACAAACACTGTCCTTTCGTGTTTGTTGACAACTCCTGCTTGACTCTCGTTGTTATTCTTCATGTCTCGTGTCTTATTTCGCCTTGGAGATCCTAACATCTAGTCATAACTCATTTTCGTGTGTTTGTCTAGCTTAACACGAATTACAAAAGAGTTATGGCAACTCTCGTCTAGGACGAAAGTAGCGAAACAAAAACAGCTAATGGTTAGGGGTCTACTTTTCTACATTACATTGGTATCATCAAAATCCTAATACAATGTTCCTAACAATTTCCCCCTTTTTGATGATGCCAAAACCTATACTCTTCTTATAAGGCTGATAAAAGTTCCATAAGGATTTTTCTTATATAAAAACAGCCATACTCGAGAGTTTACAAGTCTTTTTCTAGATAAAAGCGTTTAATAAGCGATATAAGAACAAGTAACTCAAACAGGTGACACGAGATGTGTAATAATGAGAGCTTCATATATAAAGATGTGATCATTACAAAAACTTCATAAAAGGAATATAGCAAAAGTTAACTTACATTTCTAAAAGCTTTGATTTCTGTTGTTCAGCTTCCTTGAGCTCTTGGTCATCCTTTTCTTTTTGTCGCTTTAGCATCCTGTTGAAGTCAATTTTCTCATTGATTTTTGCTCTGAAGACTTTGATAGGATTAGTCCTGACAAGCTCTTCATGTTCTCCTTTGATGTTCAGACCAGTGTAACTGTTGTAGGCTTCCCGAATGTTGCTTCCTTCAACAATACCATACTTCCACCACGAGATCAGTTCAAACGAATTCATGCCTTCTTGGTAGCTCTTTCCTGCTTCCTTGTGCACTTTGAAAGCTGCATTATGCATGACATTTTGTGGGGAATCTTTGGTTACACTCGAAAGATCTTCAATGAGATTGTTGATCCTCTTTCTTTCCATTGCTTCATCTTCTCTTCTCTTTCTTTCTTCATCATGCTTCCTCCACAGTTCTTTGTTTGCTCTTTTGATTCTTTCATTTTGAGTGCTCATGTGGTTTTGTCTTGTATGGTTGTCCTTTGTTTTCAACCAAGTGGGATTATTGCAACCCTCGAATCGTTTGCCACTACCTTCTTCATATGGGACAAAGTCCACAAAGTTTCCTATGCCATCCATAGTTACTTTGTTGTCTCTCATAAGCTTTTGCCTTAATTTCATCTGTTCTCTCTTTGGCAGTCCTGTGAAGATGTATTTGGCTTCAGAACCAAATGATTGTCGAGGCTTGATTTGTTTGGAAGATTGGTATCGACCATATCTTGACTTCGAGGAGTAATGACCACGAGACTTGGAAGATGGATTCGGGTTCCTTTGGTCATAGTCTCTTGGTGTCCGAGAGGGAGAGTGTCGTGCTTCACGAGCTTGATCTTTCATGCTATCTCTCGGCTGATCATCATCCTTATCTTTGTCATTATTTCTCTTTTCCCCCTTTTTGGCATCATCAGCACAAGTGGTAGGAGGAATGGAAGAGACCTTGTTGATTGCAAGCAAGATATCCTGAGCATATCCGAGAATTTGAAGTGCATATTCGCCCAGTTGGTACGAATTGTCCTGATATGTGTCAATCTTTGTACAGGCCAAATCCATACGCTCTTTGAGACCAAAATGAGAGTGTTTGATTTCGTGCTGTTGTCGCGCAACTTTGTTCAAAGAAGCTTCGAGATCATAAAGTTTCTTTGTCATTCGCTCAAGGACCTTGTGATCTGATTGGCTTTGTTGCTGCGGTTGAGGCTGTGCTGGAGGTGGAGATCGAGGTTTAGATTGAGCTGCTATCAGAAAATCGACCTTCTTGCATAGATCATCCATAACTTTCGTGTCCTTTTCTCGTAAAGCAAGATATTGCCTATGGATGGTCTCGGCTGAATGAACAGTTCCTCTCATGATGTTCATGATAGTTCTTGGGGACTTCGCAGGGGATTCTTCCTCAATGTTTGTTGGTGATGTGTCCATGTGATCATCTTGAGGTGGTGCTTCCCGGTTTCCACCACTATCTGAGCTAAGAGGGATTGGTGAAGCTTCCAGTTTGCCTTCACGCATTCTTTCGCTACCGTGCTTGATTGGAGTCTCGTCTATGGGTTGGATATGCGGAACAATAGCGCGAGATAGATCTTCGGGATGAATAGTTGAAGCTTCTTTCGAGTCTTCACTGTCAGATGGTAGTCTTCTTAAGGGAGATCTCTGAGGGTAGGTGTCATAGTCAGGACCGATCAAAATTGTGTGACTGTCTTTGGGTTCGGTTTCTTGAGCACCTTCATTGCCCATCTGATCATCATTATCATCATCGTCATCATTATCATCATTCTCATTATCATCATCATTATCATCATTATCATTATCATCATCATTATCATCATTCTCATCATCCGTATCGTCAACATCATCATTATCTTCATCTTCACCTTCATCACTCTCGCCTTCTTCAATCTGTCGTCCAAGCTCATCTTTCGTGCCACTGATATTACAATTTGGATCATTTTGGTGTTCCTTCTCTAAAGTGGTCTTGATCTTTGAAAGCAACATGGCATATCGAAGTTGCTTCAGTTCTTCTTCATAAACTGGATCCAAGGGTGGCTTGTTGAGCTCGATGCAGATTGGAGCTTTATCTCTCCCGAGAGTGCGATTTGTCATCTTGTAAGAGAAAACGCGATTGATCTCTTCAATTCGAAGAGCTTTTGAAAGATCATCAGTGCCAATCCATGCAAGTGCAAATTCCTCTTCATCCTGCATTGCATCAAAAGTTTCAAGAAAGATCCGCAGGGGAGCAGTGCGCCACTTTTGCCATTGTTGAACTCGTTTGTAATCTCGTTCAATGGATTCTCTAAGTAATTGATCTGGTGAAGGTTGAGGAACCTTTACTTCTGGAACTGGGGCTGATGGTTTCGGGATGTCTGGAGGTTGTACCTGCACTACTGCTGTCTCGTCTACCAACACAGGTTCTTGTGTCAGAGTTACCTGCTCTGTATTGATAGGTTCTTGTGGCAGACAAGGTAAAGCGATAAAGTATCAGTCGCCTCTTTCGTCTTTTCTGGTGACCCAGGTTCTTGTGGAAGACTTAAGCGACTGGCCTCCATGTCTACATTAGCAGGTTCTTGTGTCAGCTCTCGAAGGAGTTGATCTGCCAAAGTAGGTTCTTGTGGATGGTGGTCTTGAGGAAAACCGAGATCAGACTTGGGTTCTTGATCATCAGGAATTTTCTCAGGAAGAACATCTTTCGGTTGACCTTCCCCCTCAGAAAGTGCTTCTTTCGTGTCTCCTTCTTTCGATGTAGCTTCTTTCGGTGTAGAAGATTTCTTCGGGAAAGATTTAGCCTTGACTGGAGACCGAAAGTGACTGTCTTTGATAATTCTGGAGAGAATTAAATTATCTTCATCTTCGGATGAGTCTTTGACTACGATTGATTCTGGTAGAGGGGAGGGTGGAATAGGATCGTTCTTCTTTTGTGGAGATTTTGGTGAGATTGGAACACCTGAAGATTCTTCTGCCTTTTTCGCCTTACTCCTAGAGGAGTGCTTTTCTCGTCTTTGTCGTTTCGGCTTTGGCTGCTCATCTTCTGAAACCCTAGGTGTTCTTGATTTTCGCTTGGCTTTGACTTGCTCGATAGGGATTCCCAACTCCAACGCCTTCTGCTCATCTAATCCTGAACCAGAAACTCCTTCCACCATGGAAATCCCAAGCTTTCCAACAGAGGACCTAACTTTCATTGAATCCAGAGTACCCTTCATCGTAGGGGGAAGTATGTGGGACGCGCATGGATTCCTTGATTATTTGACTATCACTTCCAGAGTCAATAATCATCATGTGGTTCTTACCGCAGAGGACGTTCGATCAACATACGGGTTTCCACAAAGAGATGAGTCTTACAAGACAGATATTATCTATTATCATCTCGACCCAGAGGACTTCTACGAATCCATCAAGAACAATCACGCACCATCCAAGGCAGAAATCTCATGGCCGTTGAAGAAGAAATGGTTCCGGCTAGACTATGAGTTCACTGTTGATATCTTCAATAAACTCGTCGATCACAAGACCTCGGGCACGGATGATGTGACGAAGGAGAAATTGAAAATGCTGCATGCCTTCTTGAATAGATTTAAAGTCGACTGGTCAAAGATCATTTTCAACAATATTGTTCACACCATCACTTTTCATCGAAAAAGTCCAGGAGACATTGCGAAGAAGTTGGGATATGGTTTTGTAATAAGCCATCTTCTGGAAACGAAAGGAGTCGTCCTACGCCCAGGAATTCGGCCTGGTCAGACAAGCATGTCATATGAAACAAAAACCATCAAGAACACCTAGGGTTTCATCGGGGTCGAGCGGCTCGAGCAGTGACAGCGGCAGCGACAGCAGCGCCTCAACGAGCGGCCACAAATCTCCGACCGAAGAGGTTCGAGAAACGCCCACGAGGACTATTGGGTCCGACCACGGGGCTTCCGTTCCTGCACATGACCGGGAAGCCACACCTGACCCGATCGAGGAAGAAACGACTATAGCAGCCGCCGCACTGGAATTCGTCTTCCTCAATAGCGAAAGTGTTGAACAGCAAAAGTGCCTGCTGACGACCGGCGAAGTGGCGAAGATTGCTGCAAGGCTAAGTGGTCGGGTGCAATTCGTTACCCGACGGAGCCTAGGGAATATAAAGGAACGCCACCAAGGGAAGTGGATCGGGATGCATTTCGATTCTCTGCTAGCCCCGATCACTTTCCCCTTTTCCCCCCTTTTGACTGCGTTCTTGGGCTATTATCGAGTATTACCCGCCCAAGTATGCCCGAACGCGCATCGTATCCTGGCGTGCTTACCGCAGATTTGCGCTCGGCACGACGTTGCATGCTCGATGGAGCTTTTCAACTTCATCTACCAGGTCAAGCCCTTGGCGGCTAAGTACGAGGGTGGCTTCCTAATGGCTCAATCCCGGGCTGATCTGTGTTCGATCGAGGACTTGCTCGGGAACAACCGAGGATGGAAGAATCAGATTTTCTCGGTCAAGTATGAACCATGGATTCTCCCGGTCGATCAGACGTGGGGGACGCACTACAGGAAGCAAGTGCAGCAGGTCGAGACCCAAGCCCTCCGCGAAGCAACTTTCCGGATTTCTAGTGAAATTTACGAGCACAAGATTTTCCGGACAAAAGAAGCGTACGACGCCGCCCGATTGCCGCCACCTCGATACGACCTGGACCAGAAGTACAAACCCT